ACGCCGGACCAGGCTCATGAATATGAAATAATTTGAAACCTCAGAGGGACGAAAAGTGGTTTTTGCACGTTTGGTAAATAATTAATAGACAGGAAGTTGTAATTACGCGTAAATAACGATTCTTACAGCAAACATTGTTATAATTGTAAATGAATAATCTTTTATGGTATTTATACGTTTTATGTAAACCCTACATAGAATTTTATTGTTGCGATAGTGTAGTTTATGACATCACAAAGGTAGGTCTAATAGGTACCCATTTCACCTCAAAACTCATTACTTGACCCACTCATACCACACGTTTTAATTGTGTTTACATTGAACATTTAAAGTATTTGCATTCATTTTTTTCGGGCTTTGTATACCCTACTTTTTTTTGTTAATACCAAAAGTATATTCAGGAAAAAAATAAAAAAATACTTGTCTCCAAATTCCAAGTAATAACTTTTTTCTCTCAACCCGGGCACCCTAGGACCGCCCTAGGCCCCCACCAGCGAGCACGGCCCCCACCACCACTGTCTGCGGGGCCTTACCGCCTTAATTAAAACTTAGCAGCTATACGATTTCAGGCGACTTTTTGTAGTTTTTCAAAATTGTTAATTTTTCACACCGCATCGATCTAATACACAATCTTGCGATTGGAACCTAATCAGAGGTTGCACCACGATATTTTGACTGGTTTTTACCATTGACTATAATAGTCAATGTTTTTACCCCGCGGTTGGTCACACTGTTCCATTGTAAGATGCTCGGTAGGTCAAGGATGGGCTGGCCTATAACCTCCACTTTCCCTTTCCTACACTACACTTGCCTCATCATGTACGACTTGTTAGGGAAACTTGAAATACTTATATGTTAACGGTTACATTTTAACTCTGGGAAGTGAGAATGGTATTGGAAAAAATGTCTGAAAACTAGTAGTCTCAAGAAGTATGATGCATCGATGATATTTATTTATAGTATAGGTTTACATGTAAGTAGTTTTCCTTAACGTTTCTTGCCACGCTCTAGACCTATGTTATTATTTTATTAACGTTCTATGTCTTTTTGTGAACATAAAAAGCAAAATAAAAAATAATATTTTCGAACTGAAATAGGAACAAATTTCCAATAGGTAACTTATAGTATTTATTCAGGACCTCAAGCGGTTAGCCATTCAATTTGGATCTTTCAACTTTCCAATTGTTGTCGACCAATTCTGGTTTTGCACACGGATATTAACAGAAACGTTAGGATCATAAACATAAACAAATTACGTCATACACTGGTCCATATAACTGTACTAATAGCCGTAACATCTGGTTCGGAATCGGACGTGTTTGGAGAAATCCATTAAAATACTAATAAAACCATGTTTACGTTTGGCCCAGTGACGTCATATGTTTAAGTTTATGTATGATACATAGTCCTACCACTTTAGCTGTAATATCCGTGGTTTAGCCTGATTACTAGACTACTGTAGCTTGGAATCTACAAAATTCAAACTCTATGTAAAATAGGTTAGACGTAATGCATCAAGCGGAGCGCAGAGCCATTTTAGTGCCAGTGAAAAAAGAAACCGAACATGTTAAGTGAGTGGAGGCGCAATTAGTTAAACGGCCTTGGAATTGCGTAATAGAAGAGGGGAAACATAACCTAGAAACTGAGGAGCGCAACAATGAAATGCGCGAGATAATTAGCGATCAGCTGATGGCAGGTCAACGACCTCCAAAGTGATGCTGCCAGTATTGTTTATGCTGTATGCAACAGTAGTGAATGAAGACACAAGTCGCAGGTTTTTGCAATATTTTAGAATTAATTTTTGATTAACGATAAATTGAACTATTTAGTGAACATTTTACATTTTCTTTTATGTAAGAAAAAAAGTGTCTTGCAAACTTCAGAATACAAATCTTTTAGAACTTATATTAAAGCAAATCTATTTAATGTGTGCTAGTTAAAACCCAATGTTTTAAAATAAAATTTATGTAAGCTATACAGGATCTACTTTTATATGTGAGCACTGAGAAGAAAGCTGATTTTCAGATTATTTGAAAACGCTAACCAAGGAAATCTATTTCATGTATCATTTTAATCATAAAACAAACATTTTCAAATCGTCGATTTTCTCTGTAATGTTGAATTTTTCATTGTTTCACACGTTTGTGCTATTGAGGCACATTTTCGAATTTTCTAATCGTACTTGACTATAACGTTAAATCCGTCTAATATTTATTCAACTCTATAATTTAGCTGAAATTATTTTTTTTTTGACTACCCAATAACGTAGATAATTTTACAAAATTGTTTTTCTACATTATTGAGTGAATGTACCATAACTGATAAACAAGTTATTGAAAACAGTTTCTTTGTCTCGGCTAATCTCGTGACGTCACTGTGTTGGTTCTGGTTGCTGATACACAGTGGCTTTATGACGTAGTACTTACAATGCTGTTGACAACAATGGTAGACAACACTTATCTCAATGCCATTATGATATCGCGCCCGTGTGCTGATAGTGGCGTTGTTTGTAACCATCCGATGACATTGTGGATCGACGTAGTTGATATCATGTTACTCGGTGGCCGTGGAAAACATCTTTGTAGGTTTACTGAGACTTTTAATGATATATTTGAGAGATATTTTTTGTGATAATGACTTCAAAATCATTCTGAATAGACCACTATTTTCCATAACAACTATAGATAAATAGCATTTAGACTATTTGTTGCAAAAGATGTAAGGAGTAAACTCTTGCCACTCTCTAAAATCTGTACATTGAAAATTGTATTTACAGAAGGGATTTTACCGGACTTGTAGGTTGGGATTGTGCTATTGTGCATAAAGTGCACTATTCCAGCCAACAAGGAAAAATAATCCCACTGTAGAAGGTTAGGGCAGGCCATGGTTGTGTTTGATCATAGAGAGAAAGAGAAGCTTAATAACAGTGGTCCTTGAATCTCTCTCTCTCCCCCCCTCCCCCCCAACAAGTAACAACTCTGACTGCATTGTCTCTGAGTTCTCTTGTCTCTTCTGTCAAAGTTTCAACTCAGTCAAAGTCTGAAACATACAGAAGAATGAATCCATACTGCCCTTTTGTATAGTTTTAAAACTATTGTTACAAATACCGGTACATTCCACACAACAGAGTTTTGTAAAACTTTCAAAGCGAGGAAAGGAAAGGTATACTGTAGACTATTAAATTTACAGAAATACTGTTTTAGTGACAATCTTTGTGAGTCAAACTTTTTTTTCATTTGAAGGGTCTGAAAGTCAAACTAGATCCTTTATATCAATTTCAAATCTAGCTATGCCACAAATAAAAAATAATTCTATGTTCACATCCATTTTATTTTCTCAAACAAAGAGTGATAAATTAATCATTTTGTTATTGTAATTCTGATATTTGATTATTAACTGTAACATCTAAGAGATAAAATAATCAATTAACAGTTTAAAATAGTAAAGTTTGTGTTAAAACTTCAAATCCAACTTTATACATACAAAACTATTAGAATTTCTTGTTAAATGAATTCAAAATTTAAAATAATAGCTTGATACTCTTGAAAATATGGTATAACCTCTTAATGATTTCGTAGAAATTACGTTTCGCTTGAATGTTTATGTGGTACAGTTGGCAACTTTTGGTAAATTGGAATATTCTTATAAACATATTTTGTATAACAATTAATCTTTTAGCCCTTGCCTTGGAATCTTTATGAGGAAATATGCCATATTACTTTCCTCTGAAGTCCAAAACATTCTCCTTGTATTTGCAACAAAACTCGTCACCACCTGCTTTGTAAAAACTTTGTAGGTAGTCTATTTTGTCAATAAGTTTTTGTAAAAAAATGTATTTAAGTAGGCCTAGTAATGTTGTGCGTCGTGCCAAGTATTTTTCCTAAACCACACAAATAAATATTTTACAATGGTATAATTCTTTTCTCAATGCATTGTAGTGACATTGTGACCTTGTCCTGTAAATTGCAGATTGCAGGTGCAATTCCCTCTCATTCTCATTGTCTGGTGCCCTCCAATATGTTCCAAGGCCAGCAAGTCTGGTTGTTTTGTTGGAACAGTTTCATTCTGTTCTGTTCTTTTTTTGGAACAGTTTTTATTTATTTGGTTACTTTTTGCTCAAAGTCAATGATCTTGCTTGGATGTTCCACTGAAGGTTTGTGTAGAGGATTGTTACAAATTGGAACCAACATTTACTAAAAGATTTGTTTTGTAACAGGACATAAAGTTGGTTTATCTATGACAGATAATTGGTTTTTTATATTTTCCTAAGTGGTCAACAACAAGAGCCTCAACATTGCAAAAACTAGCTTAACATTTTCAAATTAAATTATTGCTCATGTAAACTAGGCCTTTGTGTTTCAAATAGTCAGTACATTTTTGCAATTTGGGTGAGTGATATGGGTTCAATTTTCTTTAAGATAAACTTGGAAACAATTTGGAAGTAGCGTGCACTTTTTAAAAGCACTCAACATTCTGGGTGTAAATCTAGCGTTGATTTCTAATGTTTACTTCGGTCTTATTTTTATTTCCTCAGTATTATTTTATCTACTAAATAATCAAACCTCGGAACCCCTAAGAGTCTTATGAGGGTTGTCTGTCCAGTCACAGCCAAGAGATGCTATATATGGTGTCATCCCCTATGTGATGACAATTACTTTTATCATAGTAGCCGATGTGAGGGAAAATCAACGATTCTGCCAAGTATAAAATGTAATATATTTCTAACGAATGTTAAATAGTTGTCACTTTAGTTTTTTAATACTGTAAGAATGCAAACTTGAAAATATAGCACATGAATTGAATGGTTTACTCCACAGTAATATCAAAGATTATACCACCAAAAGCATATACATAACATTCTAAATCAAATTGTATAGGTGTAAAACAATCTTTTGGCCATGTCTTTTGGCTACCCATTAGGTAAACTATGACCCAAAAATGATTCCAATTCTGTCTCCAAGAAAAGATCAATGGAAGCTAATCAAGCCCTGTTGTTTCAGATCACTCTCAGTGGGCACAAAGACAGGTTACCGAATCTTCTCCCTGAGCTCCGTGGACTCTCTCGAGCAGATCTACGAAGATGGTGAGATATTAAAGATTACTTTAATAACTATGATTCACAAGCAATTCCCATTTCATTTGAAATTGAGCTCCTACTGAGGTTCTCAAATTTGGAGATTATAGTTTTGTTTGCCATACATTCCTTGAAAACATAAACATTGTTTGAGCTAAAATAACTGGAGATAAAATAAATATCAGACACTGAACTGGGGGTACGACCGAATTTGTATGTACAGTGAGGTACCAGAACTGAAATATACTGGGAACTATGTTATCTCTTAACGTTTTATCCTCTATCCCTTACAGGCTTGAGATTTTTCAAATGTTTTTGTCCTCGTGGAACCTACTTCCCTTCTCTTTCATAGATAATTGTTATATTGGGTTAACAATAAATAGTCCCTTCATGTTGTTAGCCTCCGGATCACTGGTAGTAATAAATAATGGTTTAAATACCATTTATACTGTCAAGTGAACCTTTGTAGTCCAAATATAGGCCACTGCAGTTTCGTTCCCGATGGGAACTTTAAACAATTATTTAATTAATAACAAAACAATACACAACATTATTCTTATTTGAAATTATATTTTGCTTAAAAATAGAATATTAAAACATTAAACAAAATATTTTCTTGAGAGAGGCCTCATAATATTTTATTTTGCTTTCCCTCAAATTAAGCTCTATGTATAAAAAAAAAATATATTGCACATTATGTAAAAATAAATAGGATAAATTCTGTTTACTTGACGTTTAAGAAAGGTAGTTAGGTAGTTAGTCTTTTGATTGTTACGTCACTTAAGAGTGTTAGTGGAGTTAAACTTTACTCTGCGTTGCCTGATGCTGTTTAGAAGCTAACTGAGTCACTAGATAGCTCTGAGGTCATCTCAAGTGAACTCTCTATCTGTCACAACTTCGGTCTTTCTAAAGATTCATTATACTATCTCTTTGTGCTAAATCAGGTTTGTAATGAAGAGAAACAAAACAACTTGTAAAAAATGCTCCGGCACATGACTTGTTTGTTGTGTTATTGACAAACAACATTATGTATTTCTTATATTTTTGAAATAGACACTGTTTCTAAGAAACACTATATAATTGAAAATATATATAATACTTGTATGGTTCCAATAATTTTTGTATATTGTACTGTGTAAAAGGTGGTAGTAGCTATGATATTTTATGGGAAAATCAGAAAAGTTACTTACTAAAAAGAAAAGTTAGCAATTACTTACTAACCGGAGTTTTTACAGCAATGGGGGCTGTACCATTTTGTTTGGATTTTAAAGGAAAATGTCATACTAAACTCTAACCAAAATGGTTTATTGGTTTGAGCTGTTTTTAAAAATAATTTTTTTCAAATCAAAATAAAAAAATATAAAAAAACTTGGAGATACTATAGATTAGTACTTACTACTTATATACCAATTGAATCTAAATTGGATCCCAGGTGTGGTCTCTAGTTCTTTACACATCCCCACACACACACACACATACATTATTTTGGACACCACTGTTTTGGGTTCAGGTTCAGAGGAATCCAAAACGGATTATCTACCCAAAACTGAAACTCGATAATTCCAACCAAAACTATACTTGCGTCATATTTTATACTACGTATAGGTATAAAATAAAATTGTGAGTGATCTTTTACTGTCTACATCTGTTAGGGGCTCATAGACGCTATAACGATTAAAAACTTTTAAATCCAACTGAATAAAGGATATCCTAGCTGAAATAAGACTTATTTCTACCATTAATTAATATAAATAATTAATGTAATGTAGTTCTTTCTTATCTGTGAATTTATTGTTGGAATGGTGTAAACCAGGAATCATTGTATGACCTAGTGTTAAAAGACCAGTCGGTATTTTAACACTAAGTCTGTAGCCAAACCTAACCCAAAGTTTCCGCAGACACTCAGGACTGCTGCATCGTGGAGAGGCTGTTCAGCTCGAGTCTGGTCGCCGTCGTCAGTCTCAGCTCCCCTCGGAAACTCAAGGTTTGCCACTTCAAGCGGGGAACGGAGATATGCAACTACAGCTACAGCAACACCATCCTGTCCGTCAAGCTAAACCGGATTGTGAGTTTGGTTTTTCATGTTAAAACTTTACATTTAGTGAGATTCCCATGTGAGGAATATCAGCGAATTTCCCATATATGGGAATATCAGTGAATTCCCCTCATAGGGATTGAGCTACTGTCAAAGGTATCATATCATGATAATGTTTGTCCAGTTTAAAAGCAAAATATTCCCACTCGGCATTACCTATTTAAGTAAACTTAGTGAATGAATTTTCACTGCAATTTCTACTGAACTTTTACCTGTACTAATATGAAGACTGGCCTATGTTTGGATAGATATAAGACTCCACAAATCAACAAATCCGTTTATTTGTACTTGTATTCTCTATTTTTATTAGTACTAGTACATAATTCACCTTGATTTTCCATGATGGTTTACTAAATAATTTTCACTACTACATGGATATTTTGCCGACAGAGACTGGTGGTATGCCTGGAAGAGGCTTTGTACATACACAACATACGAGACATGAAGGTGCTGCACACCATACGAGATACACCACCCAACGTGTCAGGGCTGTGTGCTCTCTCCGTCAGTAGTGAGAACTGCTACCTCGCGTATCCAGGTAGCAGCACCATTGGCGAGGTGCAGATCTTCGACTGTAGCCACCTGGTGAGTAGATGAACTAACTAACAAGTTGACCGTCCCAATCCTATAGTAAAGCCCGTAAAGACTTTTTCCAAGTGTATCTTTCATCTCCTACCTTTTCCTCACGTCACTTGATAACACCGTTCTCAACCTCGTAAACTGCTCCACCAATTTGAGCGACTCTTGATCTCTTCCGATCACTATTGTCTCCTGTTCTCCTTACTATTCTCAACACTCTATCTCATTAGCTCTATCCACATTTAACTGGCTTTACAATCTCTCATTCCACAGGATTACACTGTCTTCAATATCATTCATAATATCAAAATTCCTTGTAACAAGCTTTATTATTTATATACATACATTGTAGCTAATAATTGACAGAGAAAGACGTAACTACACAAAACCTCGATTGAACAATGTCAATAAAAATGTGATTTGTTAACTATTTGATTCAACTATAAGATAAAGAAGGACATTGTTTAAATTGGTCATAAAAAATGTTAACTTTTTTATCTTGTTATCTCAGGTAAAAATTATATTTTACATTCACATCAGCAAATCTTGACTAACCAGAAATAATACTTACTACTTAACAATAATATTGTATGTTATGTTTTGGTCAAATAGCGTGCCAAGATCATGATCCCCGCGCACAACTCTCCCCTGGCCGCGTTGGCCTTCACATCGAGCGGCGCAAGGCTGGCAACGGCCAGTGAGAAGGGAACGGTCATCCGAGTGTTCAACGTGGCCGACGGCACTCGGCTGTTTGAGTTCCGACGAGGCTTGAAACGCTGTGTCAGGATTGCCAACCTTCTCTTCTCTACCGACTCACAGTTTCTCACAGCGTCGAGCAACACAGAGACTGTGCACATCTTCCGACTAGATGAGCCTCAGTGAGTGAATAATGTTTTATAGCTTTATTCCTTTAGTTGGCTAAAGCTATATCATTCCAGAATGCTTTCTAGATTTTAAAAATTCAATCTATTCAACCCAACTGTTCCTTTTCTAGACAAGGTAACAATTTAATATAATCAAAAATTCAAAAGTGATGAAAATAAACAATTTTTAATACTAAAAGAGAACGAAGTGTAGATGTTTGATAAGGATATACACACGTAGAAGAATGATTTTCATATTGTGTCCAGCGTTAATGATTCTGTATACTTTTTCAGTTCCCTACTAATTCCAATGTCAAAAGCACCTGGCACAGCCAGAAGGCAAACCGTCCAGCTCCAAATCTCAAGTCCTTATGACACTGCTTAGTGTTGTCCAATGTGATCCATCCTGTCTGAAGCATTCCGTAGGCGATACAAAACCAGGGTTGTTTTACAAGGGAGGGTGGTTAGCCCATCGCCTCAACCCCCAATATGAATGGAGGACCTACTTCTGGTCAGCGGGTCCATCGGACCTAGCCGGGAGATCTGACAAGCAGATCCACCGACCTTCCCCCTATCCGCCACCCAGGGGACGCTCCGTATACGCTTAAGTAGGAAAGCGCACGGATACTTTATTACCACATACATAAAATACTAACACTAGGTACAAACGACACTTAATACTAAGATACAAGAGATACTTAACACTAACAAGTTGGTTCTAAATCATACTGTAGTTTAATCCTCTTCAGGACTTGTCTTCATTCGGCTCACAGTGTTGTTGCAGAACTCTTCAGTTCCTTCCTCATCAACTTTCTTTAAAAAATCAATCTCCTCGTCCATGGTTGCATTCATCTCCTACATTTCATCATGTTTCTCAAAAATTTTCCTTGGCAAATCCTTTGGCACTTTTCTCTAAACAATCCATTTAATAACTATGTAGATCCTTTTTGTTTTACTGAAGCAATACAACATCAGGTCTCTGTGTAGTTCTATAACCTCCCATTTTCCCCAGGAGTTGCTACTTGGTTGCTTACCATAGTTATCTTGCTAGCTCTTATGTAGCAATAGTGACAAGAAAGGAAGAAGACTTTTCTGCCAAGTTTTCACTGATGCTTCATTTTCTAGACCTGCTCTACACTGTCTCTGGAATGCAGCAAATAGACTTAACTTTCTTGAATTTGTATTCTTCAAAATCATTTTGACTGGAATTGACTGGAACAAAAATTTGATCTTGCATTCATTTACTGTGTCAGTGAATGAATTAAATAAATAGTTTCTATGGAAACATATATTTACTGTCAGTATGCCATTATTAGATCGAGACTTTCCATTTCTATATAGTTGAAGCTAAATTTACAATGAAACCAAACGTATTTAAATTGAGCCTCAAACAGATTCTACTGCTGTCACTTAAGATCTACTGATTTATGTCATAGGATGATACCAACCTTTACATAATCAAGCCAAGCAGAATGGTCTACTTGTTGTAAACTATAAGGACTTTGCTTAGGATATCAGGCTTACCTAAGTAGGTCCACTCTGGCTTAAGAAACACAAAAATATACAGTTTTCCTTTTTTGCCAAGACATCTCTCTTCCAAACTCAAACATCCTTTAGTTGAAAATACAATAAGTAAGAGTATCAGATAAAGTGAAACTATAATTTTACCTAATAGTGTAAAGTTTTGGGATTTGTTGTGAGGATAGCAGGCTTGCCTGAATGGGAAAGAATCCAAACTAGCACAAGAGACCAAAACTTTGACTGAGTACACAAAATTGAATTGAATTGATTGAAAAACATTAGATTATTTCACTGTCACTGACAGCATTTTCAACTAAGGAAGAGAGTGTATTTATCCTCACAAAAAATCCCAAAGATCTTGGCCCTTATAGTGTGGGTCTACACCCTTAACTTCAAAGTGTAACGTTTTAGTGGGAGTCTATTGTACTTTAGTTTGAATTTAGATTTTCAGCTAGTCTGAATGTTATATTATCTTCAAACTTCAATATTTGTATACATCATAGTAGGCCTACAAGTGTTGCCCACTGTTACAGACCTGCCCCTGTAGAGGACAACGCTGGGTGGATGGGTTACCTGACCAAGGCTGCCACTCTGTCAGCCAAGTATCTCCCCACACAGGTGACAGACGTGTTCAGTCAGGGCAGGTCGTGTGTGTGCGTGCACCTGCCTGTCCACGGCTACAAGACAGCTTGTGCAGTCGCCACGTTAGTATACATAGTACATCTTGATAGGTTAGGATAGTGGAAGCTGGAAGAGTTTAAAGTTAGTGATGTACAGTTTTGGATGTTCTTATTCAATAGTAAGAACAAGTGTTCAAATATGTTTAGGATTTTAGGCTATATTTTCTTTTAGTATATTGTATTTCTCATACTTGTTTGATGGTATTTCTCATATTTGTTTGACGTTTCAACAAAAATGACACATATATTTTTATATAACATTGTAACCAGGGTTTAAGCTGCGGTAGCATTTTTAGCATTTTTCTATACACAACCAAAAAATGCTACATCGTTTTAGCAGGCTATAGCAAGTTTGCTACAAATAAAATTAAAGACGTAACGTTCAAACATGTAATATTACTTGCAATTTTTTTAAATGCGTAAAGAAAAATATTGTTGCTACAGTTGTCGAGTTTTTGGTTTTTTGGCCAGTTTGACTAGGGGTTAGGTTTTTCTTCCTTAAATATATTCCTTTCCATTTTGTCTAAAAATAACTGAACTGTCTAATGCCACAAGTCTACAGCTGTATTTACAATGTTTGTTTCACAGGATACAGAGAGTGCTGCGTCTACTGGTAGCCTCAACTGACGGCTTCCTCTACATATACAACCTGGACACATCCGAGGGTGGGGAGACTACCCTGGTCAAGCAGTACAGGTACAAGCAATATCTGTCCCTAAAATACTAAAAAGTATTCTAGGTTGAGTGTTTTTACGGAAAAATTGAGTTATGAACTATGTAAATACAGTGGAACCTCAATAAGAAGACCTTTGATAACAAGTCACTTTTGATAACAAGTGTATTTTTCAAATCCCCTTGAATTTATTTTAGCCTACCTCTAAACACATGTTATTGCAAACCTCAATAAGAAGTCAACCTTGATAACCAGACTAATTTTATAATCCCCATGAGAGTCTTGTTATCAAGGTTCTACTGTATTTATATGAGTCAGCCAAGATCATTTACAATTCTAAAAATCTGAAGTGTCTATGGTTAGTATGTTTATGTGTCACAATTATTGCCATTGCAATAATCGGAATTAGATTCAGAACCAAAATTAATATATCACTCCGGTAGAAGGTAGAATGTACAACTTCATAGACTTGACACTTTAAAACTCAAGCCTGAGTATAGCTCGGGGAGTTAGTTTGTGAATCTCACCTGTGATGGCTTACATCTGTACTTGTCGCGTCTGGCCGACAGTCGCATGGTAGCTCAGTTGGCTAAGGTGTTACACTGATGAGTGTAGCATTGAGGTCTTTTTACATGTGCAATCCGTACTAAGCTCAATAATGTGTGGCTAGCTGGCAGGAGAGGCCCATCTTTAATAAATGGTGTATGGCTTAGGTGAAAGTTTGACAGCATTATTGAGCTTAAAAGGGATTGCACACAACAACAGCTTATATTTACAATAATGCAGAGGAGGAGGACATGGATTTTTCTTTTTTGCTTTCATCTTAGTTAAATATGGAGATATCGGGTTAAAATAAATATATTATAAAAGACATAACCTAAAAAATATTAACAGAAAAATATAATAAAATAGGCAAATGGCAGTAATAAGTTTATTGGGAGAAAAACAACCTTTTCAGTTAATAGACTTTAAAAACTGATTCCTAGCAGTTATTCCTTATAATTAACAGATTAATAAATTATTGAAAGAGATTTCAAGATCCTACTGTACTAGTTTGCTTTGAATATTTCCTTTAGAATATGATAGTGAGAGGTATAGTGTTGTCTGTATTGATCAGTATGAATTTTTACTGACTTTGTGTTGTCAGGTTGGATGGTAAAGCGGAGACCATCACAGAAGTGGTGAGTGTCGGAGGAGAAAACCCCCCTTCGTCCAATCCGCTGCCAATCGACAAAACCGACTCCCCCACCCCAGGTAGATATTGTCGAGAGTCAGCTAGGTTAAACACTATAAGCAAGGCCTACAGTCTGGCAATCTGGAGCATTAGCTCTTTGCCTACACAATTTTCAAATGGCCTCTTTACTAGGTTGTGTTTACCTAGATAGGTTAGCTAGTGATTTGTTGATTGGAGTATTACAAAGACTATTTTTTTTGGTAAAGTCAAAACATTTTACAGAAACTTCAATATTTCTTTAAATTTAGTGTGTAACATTTGAATTTGGTTGTAATTGAAATAATTAACTGAAGCTATAAACAATGATTAAAATTTATAAACAGATTTAGTTAACTCATGATTACAAAATAAGTGTAAATATATCAATCAGTTTATTTCAGTAATTGTAATTGTATTTTCATTGATATAGAGGGTCAATTATAATTCCCACTAGTTTCCTGCACTAGGGTCAATTATTCTATTTGCCAATCGAAAACATATTTTCACTCCAACCAACAACTTAGATTTAATTTCTCTAGATGTTTTTTATCTAGTTTTAAAACATACCAAAAAGGTTATTTTAAGTTTTTCTTGAAAAAAAATGATAATTTTGAGCTTTTAATAACTTTCTTTTATGGTTTAGACAGCTGTTCACAATAGAATATTCTTTTAAACGTAAGTCATCAAATAGTCTTTCCAATTCTGCTGAGAATGAGCAATAAATGAAACGCTATTAAAAAATATCAGGTTTTTATAGTAAAAATATAGCCTAAGTTAAAATTTCCCGAAAAATATAAAAATCCTTAAGCTATTTTCCAATTAAGTAATAATAAAAAAAACATAACATTTCACTACGATAGGTTTTTAGATTTATTTAATATTTCAGAACTACTGCTTTTAATTTTGCACACTTTCGTCATGTCAACGATGTGGATAAGAATTGTCTTAACTTTGTATAAAATTGACCATTCGTTGAAATTTATTTATATAAAAATTTCCAGAATATTTTTTTTGTTATATTGCAATCTTATAACTTAAAAAGAGAGCAATGTTTTGCTTGAAACATCTTGAATCGGTTTTGGAGTTGAAACTAACTGTAGTATTTAGCAAAATCAAATTCTATCTTGATATTATTCTCGTTGGTTTAGCATTATATTTTATAATACATGGTCAGAACTAAAAAAAATATCTCATTCAACTGACGTAAAACACAATTAATTGCAAGTGTATACAAACTTTTACAATCAAAATTGCTTACTAATTGTTTTGACGTCACCACGTCATGCTCACGTCACACGTGTCACGTTGTTTTGTCATGCTTATGTTGACTCTCATCTGTCCACTATCAAGTCAGATAATTAAATCTCACGTCTCAGCAGTATTGGAGAGGTTGTACGGTTTTATGGTGCGTTTTCTTATTTCCCTGTTTTTCCCATGCATGCTTAGACTTCCTACCAAACTACATGTGAAGGTAAATCTCTTGTTTTATTTCATTTGTCACTTATCCAGTGTTTGCAGAAGTAGAGTAGTTTAGTTTGGGTGGCAGCTGTTTTGTTTGTAACTACTAACAGACGTTTTTTGCCAAATGATCCATTTATATATTTCTTCACCGGGAACTAAATCTTAGTCCAATTTTTTATTTGAACTTAGGAAACAGAAACATTAGGGAAGAAAATTCTTATTTAATTTAATTGTTGTAAATTTGTAAGTTTGCTTCCACAGTTTTTTGATACATTACTTTAACATAACGCTTCACTACAAGTTTTTCTGATAGCTTGGATCTGCTTCCAACAGACACAACTTAGTTAAACATTATAAAATACACCCAGTAAAAAAAAAGCCATTGCAAATGTAGCAAACACCTTTCTAGTCTAAAAAAAATTCTATCTTGTCCAAGTGCCGGTATGTAATATTTCAAGTAAAATTTCTAATTATATTTGTTTTCATACAAATACTTAACCATATTTGGAAACGCTAGTCTGTCTCAATAAAAAAAAGTACCGTTAATTTTGTCGTAAAACTCCCCTTAAAAGTTTGTCAGAATAGTATTAACTAGACGTATGAAATATTTAATTCGCCAACATCTATAATCAAATTCTGATTTCTGAGTGATAGGCTAGACATGCTTGGATGTAATCATAGTTGCTTCATCACCATGGTTACTAGATTCAAATATTTTTACCAACATTTAGTTTCGGAACATGTAGTTTGGTGTAATTTTACTTTATATCCAAATTTTAGATATTCTTTAGAAACATAGTACTAATTTTTTTAGACTAAAATGATTTCTATTGATGACAAAGACTTGCATATTAATTAATTTATATCTTAAGCTAGAAGTAGTTGTATTTTTAAGGGGAATAACCCAAACTGTCTCAAATTATTGTTTGAAGTCTAGGGAGTTTTACCTGTCTCCTTGATCTTGAAAGTGAAATAGAAATTTTTCCCACTCTTCTATCATATAAACATTTTAGAATTTCTTTCAGATTAGAAAAATTAGATATAATTATAACTGCCAGTTATTATGGAAAATTGTAACAAAATTGGGTACTAAAATAATAATGATGGGAATATGATAAAACTACATTGTCACATGCACATGAGCGAGTAAGTGGTGAGTGCATGTTAAACTGTGCCCATTGACATTCTAATTGAAATAAGAAATAAAACGTATTCTATTTTCTATTTTCAACAAATTGATAAGTGCTGTCACTGAGGAACTATGTTATGTTATATTTATTGAGTGATATTTTTGGGAATCTAGTAACCCAGGTTGTATCTGATGTGGTTGCGTCCAAAAGAGCTTCGTTTGGATTTAAGCAAGTAAAATAATCATGCCAATGTCTCATGTTAGAGTTATAACTTGATTCATTACACTTTATGATTGTATAAAGTGGACTTTTATCATATTGCACAGAACATGTATTTCATTTCTAAAAATTACTTAGGAGTTTTTACAAAACAATGTGTTTTATTTTCTCCATATCATTTTATTCAATTTTTAAATCACATTAAGCTCAGACGAAATTTCAACCAGAAGTTTATACATATTTCAGTTCTAACCTAACCAATCCTAACTTATTCCTAAATTTTTAATATAAAATTTGAACCTAAAAAATAAAGTAGTCAGATAGCGGAAGTGCAAACTTCTATCCACCCACAACACACCCAGTAGAGTTAGTTGCATGTATGCATGTGAGGTTATGTTGCCGCCAACTCTTGTTTGTGTTGTCTACCAGGCCTGTGTAGCTCCTCCTACGCGGGCATTCTCAAAGGACACTCGCCCGGCCACATGTCAGGTAGTATGTGTTGATTACCAGCTTGTTCCAGGAGTAAGCTCTGTTTCCTTCCTGCGTGGAAACAGGAGAAGGATGAAGAGTCAATTATCCTATGGTCAGTTGATCAATTGTTTTTGTTTGGGTACTTGCAACACAACATGTCAATTCATTGTTCCAAATTTATGTCCTCTATTCTTACTTCCAGAAATAAGGATTCTAAATAAAAATTAGTTTGTCCAATTTTTGTTTTTGGATTATTCAAACCAGTCCTGGATCAAAGCTGGGATAATTGACTCTCTGTACGATTGATTGGTTTCTGTGACCCCAATTGGCTTTTTGGCTTGTCAAAATGAATGTTGCACTCTAACGTTATTCTAGCTATAAGGACATGCCAGATTTTCATATCCAAACCCGGATGACAAAAAATTAAAAATTTTTACTTGGAAAAGAATTACATTTTCATCTTTTCTCAAATCAACTGAACAATTTGATGTGCAGTAATTTGTTTGCTTGATTATATTATCAATGACCATGGATGGTATTATTTTTGTTTGTCTTGTTTTCACTAATCGTGATAAATTAAAAGTATTTAGGATATTTCAGAAGATTCCTTAACACATCATTGGATTCAGTTGTTTTTGTTTATGTACCTGGTAGTATATGCTCCTTGCAAATTTAGCAGGACTTGTTTAATTACATGATCTTAATTTAACAAGCAATAAAAAATTGCTGTATGTTCAGAATGAGAACTATCACAAGCCATAAAGTGTGCCTCTTACTAAGAAGGCTCTCCATTACCTACCCACACTGGAATGAAATAGAGTTTACTTACGGAACAAACTGATAAACTTAATTCTTTGCTACTGTATCAATAATATTTAACTAACCACTTCTCCATAAGCTGAATATCACTGAAACAAAAATTTGGAGCTATGTTATTATAATACCCGAGAATCTTTTTTACTACAGAAAATTATGGATACTAAGACCATGATGTAGGTAAGCACCATAATTTAAATGTTTCAAGTTATAACTCTAACATAATGTAAAGCTATAAAGCACTTTTTAATTAAAAGATCTAATAAAAAGAGTGTCCGATAAGGAAATGTAATGGAGTACTGGTAGCCTACATAGAATATTATCTCTTTTGGTAATTCCGTTTAAATAATAAATTGTACTAATATTGCTCAATGACAGCTCTTATCGACTTGCAACTCATGTGCAAAATGAAAGTGTCTATACTAGCAGCTAACAAAAAAAATTGATCTCTTAATGGGACACCAAATGGACGTATTTAAACTTAACCACCTAGAGTGATTGTTGTACACAATTGGAAACAAAATAACATAATTTACTATTTTGAAATGACACTATTTTGCAAACATTATTGAATTTACTTGTGTTGTACTGGTAAGCAAGACTATGTATACCATATTGGTAAATGTACCAAGTCAATTTGAGGAACTAACCTATAATTAGTTCACTATATTTCAGTTTGTTAAAAGCTTTTATTCCTTATTTAGAACTAAAACATCAATCATTACCTTGAAAATGAGAATTGAAAAAAAAAATTCCTTTGTAGAATTTGGTGATTGGTGACAGAATTTGCATTTTTAAACTACGTGTAAAAAGATGAAATTTATTGTCTGACGTTTATTCCTTATCGTGAAATGTTTTTCCCAGTGGCTGACACAGCCTAGTCAATGAGAATGCCACTTACAAGATAGGTTTGTCACCAAAAATCTATAGAGTTAGGGATGACAATATTTGGCAATATTTAGAAACTTTTTCGCCTTGGTTGAGTCTAAATGTGTCCTTGTTTTATCCCAGCTGAGAATCATGAGGCAAGTTCCACTCTTATTGCTGAGGCAACTCCTGTTAACTACAGCTAACACATTTAATGCAGTTGTTACAGTTTATAAATATAAATTTCTAAGTCAGTGTATCCAAATTCTACAGGATGTTTCCAAACTCCAAGGCAATAAAAAAAAATATGGTATTAACATATGCCCTATCTTGCTTTGTTTTCTGTCTCTGCGGTGCGTATGTATTTTTTACATAACTTCCCATAACTTTGGAACCACTTGAGGTACCAACTGCAAATGTAGTACATGTATGATGACTAATAGGAACTATATTTTTGCAAAGGATCAAGCTTCTACTTTGTATAGTTCCAATAAGGCGGCTATTTTTATTTTCCAAAACTTGATAACTCAAAAACCATAGGATTTATAAAAAAAAATAATTAAAAATGACGAAAAGGATGGAAATTTAATTCACTTTACAGATTTCTGTGAAGTTAATTACATTTCCATCCTTTTTATAGTCATTTGTAACTTTTTTTTAATCCGATGGTTTTTGAGTTATTAAGCTTTATAAATAAAAATGGCCGCCATTTTGAAATTATACAAAGTAGAAACTTAATGCTTTGCAAAAATATAGTTTCTCTGTTAGTCATCATGCACTTAAAAGGGTTAAGCTGGTACCTCTAGTGGTTCCAAAGTGATGGGAAGTTATGTAAAAAATACATACACACCGACAGACGGAAAAGAAAGCGAGCTAGGACATATGTTTGTATATTTTCTGTTTTTTTTTTTACTTAAGGAACATGTCCACTGAGTATCGGAAGAGAGTTTCGAAACACCCTGTATAGGTATTTGATTAAATGTCAAAATTATTTTCTTTCTAGCCTTTTTTTGACATTAGACAAATTCTATTGATGACTTTTCACAAAATGGTGTGTTTTTTTATGTCTGTTAATTCAGATGTTAAAATTTTTATATTAGAAGCTATCCAAACTGGTTTCCATAGACTCCAAATCTTTAGGAGATGAGACAACGCCATTAAACAGGCAAAAAACTGACCGCGTTTTAACGTGTGTAAAACGTCAGCCAGTATTTTTGCCAGGTCAATGAAACAGTCCCCGAAAATTTAGATTCAACAATAACTTAAGCTGTGATTATTTATTTAACTTTATTATTTCTGAAGGGATTTGTACGTAATGTTTTGTATTGTGTTTAACTTTGTTTTCCTAGTGTTCTCGTGTTTAACACTTGGGCTGTTTTCAGACTCTGAGAAGTTCCATGAGATGAACCTGGCCACGTCTTCGCCGCCCAAAGACGGTTTCCGCCTCACTGATGACTCAGAGTTCCCTCCGGTCTCTACTGATTGAACGTGTAAATATTCCCGGCACCAATGTATATTATATTTATTAAGTCTTTCTGTTCCGTTATGTGGATCACAATTTCGACGTTTATTTTATTCACTCTAAATAAATCAAAATTCTTTGTAGATTTGTCTTTTTTTTCATCCCACATGACATTTAATCAACCTTGATTAGATGAAATTTTCTGCTCTAAATTGTATCTTATGGACATTAAATTAGTGCTAGTACATTTACAAGTAAGGGGTTTTAGTTTTAACTTTTTTTTACTACTTTGTAATTGGTTATTTCAGTAATTTTTGTAGTCGAGTACACTTGTGATTTGTGAAATTTGTGACTTGTAGTGTCCGAATGGTAGGCCTAATGGTATTGCAAAAAAACAATTGTTTAGATAATTTTAATTTATTTTTTATTTTTACTCTTCATCAACATTTTCATTTTTCTTATCCTTTTGTGTCTTGGTTCTATGTTTTCATTCGGTGAATGGAGTACCTGCACACAAAACAAGACATTTTATTTAGCCTCCTGTTGTTGTTTGTTCTAAAGGCTATAATAATTGTATAAAAACTAAACATTTTCTAAACTGAAGAATATTTAACTGGACAACTGTTCTGTATACTATAGATGCCCCAAAAGGTCTTATTTATCATCTTAGAAGTTAAGGAATGGCCAATTGGCTGATTAGGATTATCATGTACAAGGATGGACAGAGCTTAACAGAACAAAACAGAAAACTTAATATTGTCCTAGTTTAGGGACTTCATCTAGAGGGAGAAGAAAGAAGACTGGACAAAATATTAAGTTTTCTGTTTTGTGTCATGTGTTTTATGTCTGTTACCAAGGCTCATCTGGACTCTGTCTACTAGGTCAGCTAGCTGATCCCTATCCTTGTACAATTAATCCTTATTTATGATCTAAAAATCCGTAAGCTTATAGGATTAATTTCATTGATTAACTTTTATGTAATCTACAAGAGGGGTACATTTTTTTTAAGTTTTTATATTCCCTTTATTTACATTTGGCAAATGCTTTGATTTTACAATTATTTACACTAACATATTTTGCAAAAGAGTATGTACTATGTATTGTAAGTTCATGACAGTCATTGAAAATGTGCGAAATTGAATAAGCTGTGTTTTTAGCATCATCGAGGACTTATTAGTGTGAGTTTATAAATAGTAACATACACTTATGGAAAGAATTGTTTTGGGTAATGGACTCTAGTCTTGGTCTTGCTACCAGATTTTGGAAGGGAGCCTACACAGACGGATTCATTTAAAAGAAACATCTTTATAAGGCTGGTGCACACAGAGACAGACGGACGGACTAAAGTTTGCTCTCCATGATGTCATATGTCACACGTAGTTTTTTCTTTACCTTATGGAAGATAATTTTTCAAAATCATTGCTGCACAACTTGGCATGCTATTTCATATCACCGAAGTCGTGAAAGCACGAGGTGAAGGAGGGAAGGGATAGTCAGTCTACTTGCAGACTCCTGCGGCTGCGAGCGGTACAAAAAAATCCGTTCTCATGATTCCGTCAGTCTCCGTGTGTGCCGGCCTTAATGGTACGCCTACTATTACAACTGCTTGGTAAATGTTGACTTACCTGACTACCGCAGATATGATCTACAGGTAAACAGTCTCGACATGTATTGCAGTGCTGCCATCGCGGCTTCACACATCTCCTACACTCATCACAGTGCTTGTACGTTCGGCCATTCTGTCAAAGATAAATCAGTTAGACTCGTTTACACCTCCTTGCATTTGGTTTCATGTAGGCCATAATACAATGTTGGAGTTCAGTTTCAACCGATCTAGAACCATTTTCAACTAAGGTGACTTGCAGGGAGTCGTATACAGCTTACAATAATTTAATTTATGATGTTAGTTAAATTTAAAAAAATAGCACTAGTACGAGCAATCCACCCGCTGACAACAGATGAGTGGATACTTTCTACGATACTGGATTCTTCAATTCACTATGTAAGGGTGGATGTCCTATAACAAAGGTCGAATCATTGAAACAGGCCTAAACAAAATATACATTTTTGGTTGAAAACAGTATTTGCAATCAGAACATAAGATAAAGCTAATACAATTTGAATTTAGTTTTTTTCTACATTCTTTACAGTTTACATAAACACCTTCAAGGGAAGAATCTAAGCTTTCTTAGTCCTAACTTCTAGTTTGTAATAAAGAGGTGGTAGAAATCTTCTCCTAACGCATATAAATAAAATGAAGCATACCCACTACACAACACTGTAACCAACTGGAAAGTTGATGCTTTTATAAAATTATGCTCATTTGTAGTTTTTATTGTTCTTGTTTGTTTTTAATTGTATGGATAGATCAAACAGATTCTAAATGTAAAATTTGTTAAACTATTAGATTAGACGAGAGGACCTTTGTGTCTAAACTCAAAACTGTACTCCGTTTCAAGTTCATTTTCAGTAAAGGCGGTTTCATGGAGTTTGAGAGATTATTGCAGACATTTTCCATTACGATGAGTTAAAAACTTGATTTAACAATTTTTTGGGATCTGGAATTTGATCACCTTCTTAGGTGAGAAAAGTATTTAAAACATGACAAGATTAATAAAGAAACCCAACTAAAGCTAAAAAATCACATAGAATAACCACAAAGAAAACTATAGTAGTCAGAACAACATAAAAAAAAATAAAAATGAAACCTGAAACAAAACAATCAAATAGAACCACAAACCAGATTAGGTTCCAGACTTCCAGATCCCAAAACGTTGTGAAAACAGTGTATTTGGGATAAAAAATTTCTACAATCATCCCTCAAAATTCATCTAAATTTTTCTTTGGATAAATTACCTTAGAAGTGCATGCGTTGCATTTCTTGCAATGGTTGTTTTCCGGTGAAACCCACTTTGAGCAAGGCTGGCAAAATCTGTAGCCTTCAGATTCCGGTAGGACAAACTGAGACGGGTCTAGGTTGGTGAACAACCTTGCGGGTGATCCTAACTTGCGTTTTGAACCTGAAAAAATTATTGTAATTCTGTACATTTTTGCAGCATAAATATACCAACTATCGATCAAATTTTATGTGGTTTAGATGGCCTTTATTGCTGTCTGGTAATCTGGAGATTTTAAAGATTTACTTCTAACAATGAATACAATCCCTTTAAGAATCGCACTTTGTTAAATACAGTTTGAAAATATTTGAATTTCTGATAGTTCCCGCAGCGACCAATAGGTAGACTATCGCGAGCGCGCGGCCAAGTCAGCTGACTGAGTGAGACCAAGAATTGGCTTAGAGAGAGAGAAAAAGTAGCGCGGCCGCCACACGAGCGATCCTGGCGGCGGCTACGCTAAGGACATTTTGGCGGCAAAATTCCAGTCTGACTATTCTCCATAAGCATTTAGCTTCTTAAAGGGTTTGTATTAATTGTTTCTAAGCATCATTGTTGTCTCAACAAAAATCCTTACTGAATGTTTGTAAAAAAACTATTGTAAACTACTGCTAAACACTTACAGTGTGGATAACAATAGGTAGGCCTTACATAAACTATCACCTGATTCTCGAAACTATATTTACGTAGGAGTAGGCCTACATATAAAAATATCAATTTTAACAAGTTTCTTTGTATTTGTTATAAACTTACAGAAACCACAAACATGAAAATACTAAAAAAATATTTATCATGATTTTATTGTATGCAATGATGATACTTGTTATACTGAACAAAGTCTTCTTCTAAATTAATTTAAGAAAAATTCTTGGCTGATTATAGGTAAAACAATTTCTATAAAAATATATCCTAAAATGCTGTTTTTCTCTTTTCTGCCTCGATTTTCCTGTTATTTTTTAGGAAAAACAATTTGGATAGGGCCTACTGCAGCTGTAAAATGCTGCATAGGCTTTTCTCAACAACTATTTTTTTTAAACTATTAATATCATATTTTTATTATTCAAGCAGTTTTTGAACTTACTATAATCCTTGTGATTGTCGTACTCAACTTTGTAGTCCAACATCTTCAAGTGAGGCAACTTTTGTGTGACATGTCGCTCTCGGAAATATGGGAAAATCCAAAGCACTGTTGAACATTATTAATTAATTGTTAGTACCTTGTCAGTCATTTTCATTGTAACTATAAAGGTAGACCTCCATGAAACTAGAGTGATCGGAAAAACTTGCTGATGTAAAACAAGATGATGTAATAAAAAAAATTTGTTCTTAATCATCCAAAAGGCAACACCTTTTTTCTTGAAAAATGATAGTTAAGTCTTAAGAAAGGAATACACACTCTAGAAGTAGAAAAAGAAATTAGAAGAAATAGAACATCTTTATAGGCTATATTTATTTAACACATCCATGTTGATTGTAGCTTATGATTTTTAGATGGGGTAGGGCCTACTTATATTGTATGCTAGATATCAAAATCCTTTTTTCAATCAATAATACCCTACGTTATTGAATTTTTCCGAGGCTAGACTATAAAATATACCTTTCAGATCATTTTCAGGGTTCTTTTTCGAGTAGAGTTTGGAGAAATGTTTTATTGTTGCGGTTAAAGGGTCCACGTGTCCACCAAACGGAGGATCAATGACCAGCGCTCCTCGATCACAACCTGACAGAAACTTTCGCAAAACTCTCTTCGGCTCGGGACTAGAGGAGTAGAAGTGTCGATTGAACATATTGAACCACACAAACTTGTCGCAAGGCCAGAACGAATGCTGAAAACATTTCAACAAGTGATTGATATAAAATTTAGGCTAACGGTACTTTGGTATTATACCGACCACACCTAATAATTCTATCCTAACCTAAGGGTAGACTATGTTTTAGGTTTGGTTAGGTTAGGAAGATTTTTAAAAATTTAAACTAATTAAAATCTTATTTGGAAGTCAATTAATCGATGTGGTTGGTTTACTACCAAAGTAGGCCTACCAATTTAACATACGATGACTATATTCCCGTGACTGCGGGAGACGATGATAATGTCTACACAATCGCAGAAGATACTCAAGATATTTACACAACCACTGACCATAATGATGTTTCTGTGACTGGGGAAGACGTCTACTTGACTGTGCAAGATAAGATTTTGCATCCATCACAGAACACAATGGTAATGTTTTTATGACCCCAGGAGATGA